CTTGCCTCGGCAAGGGCCGTCGCTGGCCGCCATGGACGTACGTCCGACTCCCCACTCCCTCCGTCCCCCCCCCCCCCCCCCCCCCCCCCCTCCCGTCCTTCCCCTGTGTGCCTAAGAACGGCCAACGGCCGAAATTCTTCGCTTTGGCAACGGACTCCTGGCCGACCATCCCCTGACCCCCCTCCCCCCTCCTACCACACGCAATACTCCCTCCCAACAGCCATCAACCCGACATGCATGTTGTGCATACAATACTCCACATGTTCTGCGATTGCCATTACCATTCCCCTACCCGTCCTCCCATACCGCCCGGGTTCGCCCCCCCCCCCTCCTCCACCCACCGCCTTTGTTCGCGACGTGTTCCATGACTTGCTGTCGGCACGTGCCGAGGCAGAGTCATTGCCACTGGCACCGGTGCACCGCCGGGGGAAGGCCACAACTCACGGCATACTGCGCGGTTCATTGTTGTGAGGACAGTTTGGTGGAGAATGATGGCTATGTGACTGGGGCTCGTATCGGCTCCCGCGGCTCGGCCCGTGGTGGCTCGCCCCGTGGCGGCTCGCGTGGTCGGCGCCGTCCGGCTGGCACGTCGCCGTCGTCGGGCGCTGCTCCGCCGGCATCGTCCACTCGTGGTCGGAGCCCGCGCGGGAGAGGCTCGCGTGGCTCACCATCTGGTCGCGGTCGGGGCTCGCCGTCTGGTCGCGGTCGCGGCTCTCGCCCGTCTCCATCGGGGCGCTCGGGCGGCCGGAGCAAGGCTGCCGACATCACCGCCCGCCTCACTGATCCGTCGACGTACTCGGCGACCCACAAGCACCGATTCAAGTCCGATGGGACCGGTGCCGGTAAGGCCGGGCGGGTCGACGTTGTCGAGAACGACGGCTACGTGTCGTCGTACAAGAAGCAAAAGTCGGACGGCAAGGTGTCGAAGCGTGTCGGCGGCAAGGCTGCCGACATCACTGCCCGCCTCACCGATCCGTCGACGTACTCGGCGACCCACAAGCACCGGTTCCGTGCAGACGGGCGTGGTGCCGGCAAGGCCGGGAGAGTCGACGTTGTCGAGAACGACGGCTACGTGTCGTCGTACAAGAAGCAAAAGTCGGACGGCAAGGTGTCGAAGCGTGTCGGCGGCAAGGCTGCCGACATCACTGCCCGCCTCACCGATCCGTCGACGTACTCGGCGACCCACAAGCACCGGTTCAAGGCCGATGGGACCGGTGCCGGCAAGGCCGGGCGGGTCGACGTCGTCGAGAACGACGGATACGTGGGTGCTTACCGCGAGAAGCGCCGCGGCGGCAAGGCCCCGAGCAAGCGTGTTGGCAGCAAGGCTTCGTCGGTCGTTGATCGCCTCACTGACACCTCGGGCTACACCGGTGCACACAAGTCACGGTTCACGCCCGACGGCAAGGGTCGCGGCAAGGCTGGCCGCGTCGACGTCGTCGAAAACACGGGCTATACTGCGTCGTTTGACAAGTCGCGCTCGCGCGGCCGCGGCTCCCGCCGCTAGATGGGCTGTGCCGCAAGTCACACGCTCCTTCCACCACATAAACATGTTATCCCCCTATCGAGAGTGAAAGCGAGCCAATGCTGCCGAGCACCAGCTCCTCCGACTCGCCGGTCCCCAGCTCATCGATGTCGTTGCCGAGCTCGACAGCGACGAGATTATCCGCATCGCGGGTCCGCTGCGAGTCGTGGACCGCCGACGCAATGCTTTTGTTGGCGAGGTACGAGACTGCGACCATTGTTGCCAACGCCGCAGTCATCTGCAGAGCAAGAGCAAAGATTTCGAGCGGATCCGACGACGACGACGACGAGATGACGTCCGACAGCGCCGAGAGCCGCGAGCCAACAACAGCGAGCATGATCTGCTTGGGCGCCGAACCGCCGAGTGCGGCAAGGAGCGTGAGCGGGTACGGGAGGCGGGCGACAGCGAGGATGCCGTTTGAAAGACCATACGGCAGCGGCGCGAGGCGAAAGACAAATGTGAGGACAAAGCCGCGGGCGTTGAGCGCCTCGACGATCGACGCCAGCGTCGGCTTGGCTGCCAGCGACGCGTACAACCAGTCGCGGAGGAGCAGGCGGGTGGCGGCGATCGAGACCACGGTGCCGACAGTGGCAGCCGCGGCGATAACGGCAAGCCCACCGAGAAAGCCGTATATGAACGCCGCACCGAGTGCGGTGAAAGAGTATACAAAGGCAATAGGCAACGGCGGCGAGATAGCGAGGATGATACTGGCCAAGACGGCAATGCCTCGCCAGCCCGAGTTCTCTCCCACTCGAGCATGGCGACTATCCAACCCTGTTGCGCCGCCACGAGGACTACGATGCAGAGCACGACAAAGAGCCCGACGGCTGCAGCCAACCTCCGCATCACCCGAGGCTGTCTCAACAACGGCGCGTGTTCAGTCCAGAATATCTTCCAATGACCACAGCCCGAACGAGCTCCTCCATCATCGCCGCTGGCCGCCACCCGCCGCCGACCCGCGCTCGCGACGTCACCAGCAGCATCAACAAGGACCTCGCGCGAGTTCCTGCTGCTTCCTCGCTCACTCTCACACCACAAGTGCTCGTCCGAAGAGTACCCGAGGGTTGTTGCCGGGAGAGACTCGCCGCCCGAGTCGTAGTGCGAGCTGGCTTCGTCTTGGCTCTCTCCCGCCGACATGGCGCTCCTGATACAGTCAGGTGGTGATGGCAGCGAGTGTGACGGCTGATGTGACAGGAGCAGGTGTGGTGGGCATGGTATCGGGCGTATTTTACGCAGCTAGTGGCGCTTCATGCGGGCACGCTCCTTGCGGCGCTCCTTCCGCTCGCGGATCTTGCGCTCGGCGGGAGACTCTTCGATGACAGGGGCGCTCGAGGAGGAGAGCAAGGGGGCAATGACCGAAGTCCAAAGCTTGTACAAGGCAAATATGGGGATGGTGATGAAGACCCAGAAGGCACGCATCGAGTACGAGGCGGCGACAAGGGCGATCCACGAGAGGTAAAGCACGTCGGCAAAGTACTCGGAGAGGCCGCCCGTGGAGATATCGTACACCTTGTTGAGCTGGGCGATGAGCAGGGCATCGACTGCCATCGTGACTGTAAAGATGGCCAGTGTCGACGTCGAGCCGATGCCGCCGAGCCACAGGAGACGGACAAGGACAAAGACAGCCTGTGGCCCTCGGTGCCCCAAGAGCAGCAGCAGATGTAGATGTAGAGGCAGCCGAGCCGATACGGGGACCAGAGGCAGAGATAGGCAGTGGCAGGCGAGTCGAGCCGAGCCGAGGTGGAGGGGGAGGCCAAGGCAGAGGCAGCCGTTCATCACCACCGCCAACAACAGCCACCCCGCCCACACCACGCCATACCATACCATATACCACACCCCACACCCCACCGCACGACACATGCCGATCACCGATCACCATGCCCACCCCCATGCCCCAACACGCCATCGGTGAGTCACTGGTAGTTGACCCCCTCCCACGACGCACGCCTAGACAAGAGAATAAGGGGAAAGGCCCCGGACCTCCGCGGTCATCACATAAACGTTCTCGGTCACTGCTGGGCACGGAGTATGACTTTTTGCGCGTGAGCATCCAGTGCGTAGATACAGTATACGCAGCTCCTCTC